TGTTTAGCATCCTCAAACACTAAACCCGTCCGTGGGATTCGTCTAGTATAAGTGATAATGCAGGGCATACATCTGCGCGTAAGTTTAGTTAAGTTATATACATCATTGGTTATATATTAAATATTTATATATTTATATAAGCTGTTATAACCTATTAACACAGCTCATGTCCGGCATGCCCACACACACAGACACCCAAAACGCCTGCGTTTTCCCGTAAATCCTCAGCGTACCAAGTCACCGGTGCTCAATGCAAAGGCGAAGGGCCGCACAGCTTCGTCCTCGTCCAACTCACGGAAGGAGCCGCCGACCTGGTGAGTCTGAACCAAAGAAGAGGTCAAACAAATTTAACGGCAACTCGCTACTAGTAAGTAGCTTTTGGTTACTAGTAGTAATGCTAGGAGCTACTAGTAGCGTCCTTGCTCCTAGTAGCGATGCCCTTTGTTAGTTACTCTTGCTCACGTTTAAATTGCTCTTTAAATGCAGGCGGAGGGTTGTCTCCAATCTTTGCCAGTATTTTTGCTTATGGTCAGTCCCCAACAATTACTGCGTGATGTGCATCCCATTCATGAGCAGTAGAACCAAAAGACCTCCGCGTGGACTCATTGTCCGTGTAGACTCATTGCTTTGATTGGAACTATTATTATGTCCTTTGTGCTGTGGACACTGACCCCAACCTGCAAACAGTGGCCAATGACGGCACAGCTCCCAACCCAATCTTTCGATATCAATATTGTTGTGCCAATCAACCTCATGGCTTGTGCTGTTTTGATGGCTTTTCCCAACCTGCCTGCCTCAGAGCCTGTGGCTCTTGGTGTCAAACGGATACTTGTCGGCCCAGCACTGGTTCGTTGGATGGTGCCTCCACCCCTTTCCCGCCTCAATGGGGAACTTGGCCGAGGCAGTGGTCCTCCACAGGCGCTTCTTCCATCCGTTTCAAGACCGAGTCATCTCCAACGATGGGTTTCGTTCTCCGTTTCGACGTGGATGGCCTGGCCATGCCTGGCCTATTTTACTTGAAGACTGGCTTCCGAATACACACAGTTGTCAGGTTTCCCATCTCTTGGAGGGCATCTCCAAAGTCAAGCAGGCAAACGATCTGCACCCAAGAGGCAATGACAATCCTCCTGTTGCCCCTTGAAATCATTTACGTTCTATTTGGTAGTGCAAATGACCAAGGCAAACAACGTATAATTAACTCCTGGGGATGAGAAAAAAAACGGTTTTGTTTTCATTGGAACCCAACTGAAGGACTCCTGGGCGCTGTCATCTTCAGCATGGCTCCATGTTTGGTCACGGTGGCAGGCTCAGTGCTTAAACAAAAGGTGCCGCTACTGGTGAGCCAGCAGCGCCGCAAGCGCCAATGCTCCGGATCTGGGCACAGCTCCGCAGTGAAGTCGAAACGAAAGCTCCGATTCCAGGGACTCTTTGTTAGTTAGGATGATGCGGGCATCTTGGGGCAGCTTATGCTGTATTGGATTATTTATATGCGCATCTTGCTTGTACATGGGCCAACGGCCTGCTGATAATTCCTCAAACTGGAAGGAAGAACATCTACAACCAGCCATGTAGAGACGGCAAGACAGCCTAGTTTTCTGTCACTTTTTTCTATGTGCATTGGAACTCTTGAGGCCGAAAAAGAGTCGTCGATGGCTTTCATCCAAACCGGCTCCGAAATCACCAAACGTCCGCGGACGAATGGAAGGGCGGCAAACCTCACTGAGGCCAAAACTGAGTGGATCTCCTTCCTTGAGTAGAACCCACAGTGCCCCGCTGCCGCATAGCTCCGTCTCCGATGGTGGGGGTGCTGGACGGCGGGACCTGGGTCAGACAGGCTGGACGATAGCCACACAGGGTGTGGATCAACACCAAGCCACCACTAGAGACGATGAGATAGGTGAAAACGTTTTCGAGGCGTCCAGGTGCCCGACACCACGTGGTTCATCATGTACTCATAGGGATCTTCTGGAAGGATTGTGCACACTACGCTCATCATCTCCTGCAGGATTAATTGCCCTATGAGAGTTGGGACATGTAATGTAATGTCAGGATCAATAAAAAACCTGGAAAAGTCCCCAAACTGACAGTAGTGCTGGTGGTTAATTTCCTCCACGCTAGACCCCCTATAGTCAATACTAATGTCCAAGTCAACTTTCCGATCCCTCTCTCTCTCTCTCTCCATGTAGATGGATATCTATACATATATATGGTGATTTCAGTGGCCAAACCTTGCAACCTGGACTTTGAAGGGTACGCTGTCACATGAGAGGTGACACTCATCCGAGTGTCATGTGTTCGTGCCCGTTCGCGCCCGTGAGAAGGGGCTCAAGTCAGGGGGCGTGGACGGCCGTTCGCCCTTGGTCGTGGACGACCCTCGGAGGCTGCGGTGTGAGAAAGACGCGCCCGGGAGCGCTTGGTGGGTAGAAGTGATAGGTGAGGGAAGGGCGACGCTTCCAGTGGGGAATCTACACTGGTAGCGGAGCCCAAGCCGCTGAAGGTGTTGAAGCACTTTCGGAAGTGGCTGGGTTCGCATGGCTACTGCTCGTGATGATCCTTCTTCGGGCTCCGGGAGCTCTGGAGGATCGAGTCATTTGCCATACAATCAGGTGCCTGTGTTCAAACCTGGAGAAACTGACTTGAATGAATGGACTCGCAAAGTCGAATTTCTAGCTCAGCTATGGCCTCCAGAACAGTTGCACTACTTAGCACCAAGGATTGCGATGCACTATCCAGAGTTGATCCCAAAGTGTTGCGCTCGAATTCCACCGATGGAGTTCAGGCGATTGTGGAAGCACTGGGTGGAATCTGGGGTAAATCCCGATTGGAGGACAAGTTCGAGCGATTCGAGAGAGCGATTTACAGCACAGTTCTAAAGGGTGACGAGACCAATGAGTCCTACTTGGCACGTCACGACCACCAGTTTGAGGAGCTGAAGAGCATGAAGGTTGGGCTTGATGAGTTTCGTGCTTACATCCTTCTTCGCAACTCCTCCTTGAGCTCAGACGACAAGAAACGCTTGATCGTGGAATCCCAAGGGTCATTGGATTATCGTGAAGTGGTGTCAAACCTCAAACTGCTAGGGAGCAAGTTCTTCCACGAGGTCCATGCCGGGAAAGCTCAGAATGTTCGAACCAAAACGTATGACTCGTCAACCTTCTACGCTGATGAAGAACCAGCCATGTTCATGTCGACTCCGGCAACTGCCGGTGATGAGGAGCCGACCTTTTTTGATGATCCTCTGGATGACGGACATCTGGAACAATGGGCCGAAGAAGGTGATGCTGATGCTGTTCTAACGGAAACACACCCATTCTGAAGAGTTGATCCTACTCTTAGCTTTTTTTGATTGATTTGTTATGTTCCAAGTCAAGTCAGAGAAACATCCCATCCCAGATCCTCCCAAACGATCGACACATCCCTATCAAAGCAGCAAAGAAAATGCAATCTGCAATCTTTTTCCAGCTCCTTCACACATGTTTGATGTGCTTGTCACCCCGTGAAGCACAGGCTTCAGGCTTCACAATACCCCAATGGAGCATTACTGGAACACAGCTGACATTTCGCTTTACTCTGAACGAAAGCATTTCAGCCTCACTCTTTACGGGCCTTTTTGGAAGGCCTTTGCAAAACAGCTGCTGCATCAGCCTCCTTAAGGGCTGTTTGCTGCAAGTCTGTCAAAGAACGAAACCATTGCCAAGCCCAGCTTTGAACGCCCATGATGGCAGCATCCTTTTTGCGCAAGGTCCCCTTCACTGACAAGGCCTCCCCTTCTGGCTGAAAACTGAGAGATTTAGATTTGCGGCCTTCGAAGGAAAATCCAGTGGGTAGATAGCACTGCACAAATGGCGATGATGATGAAGGGTTTCCAAAGTACGGCTTCACTGATGGAGGCCAATCACCAAATGGACGTGGTCTTGGCACATGAGGTTCATGAGTACCTTGAGCATCTGACCGGATCTCCTACAGAAGAGTCGCCACCAGAAACACAACCCAAAAACAGAGACTGCAAGTGTCATCAACATTACTACATCAAACATAAACAATTTACATAGAATATGGAGTCTCCTTCTGCGTTCCATCAGCAATATTGTTGTCTGCACCAGGGTTTTGCCCTTCTCCACACGAAGCTCCAAGATGAGAATCATCAGGGACATGTCCTCCCACTTCTGCACTTTGAGGAACATCACCGGTAGTTCCTTCTGAAGCTGCAGGATCATTCTCATCCAAGTCATTCATCTCTTTGAGTATCTCTGCAAGCGCTTCATCCTCAGTCTCCCCTTCCAAATGATCGTGTTCAGACTCGTCTGCATCCTGGTTGGTTTGCAAGTGGAAGGCAACTCAAGGATAAAACTGCTACCTGGTCTACGATCTACCTGTCTTCACCTTTCAGAATATTCAACCAGCACACAGCAGTATTAATGAAACATTACATTAACTAATTCAATGGTCACCAGTGAGACCCATTGGCGCAACACAGCATCAAAACCTGTCCTTCTGCTCAGGGTCATCCTCAGCAGTATTCTCTTTCCGCTTGCGAGGTGGTTTTTCAGGAATCAAAGCCAGGACTGTGTCTATGTACTCTTGGGTGCACTCCATGGTCTTCAAGAAAAGTTCCACCCGCAAACGATGAGTCAACTTTTGAGCACCCCGAATCTTCAGCTTGGCCATGAGACGAAGGAGAATACCAGGAGCCAAATGCAGGATTCCATGTTGCGCAACAAATTGAGTAATCGGTAGGAAGTCTCCTGCTGCTCGGAAGCCTAGCTGTCCAGCATTTGCATTTGCCACTGGCTCAGCTGGCGCAAGCTCAAAGGCCTCAAGCGAACTCACCGTCTTTTCCTGGGTATTGTGGGTCAAAATGAAGACGCCATCAGTGTCATTTGCACGAGCCACAGCCAGGCTGATCGTCAAGACACTGAATGGCCCTGCACGGAGGACCAACTCTGGATCTGTCTTAGAATCCTTCTGCCTGATCAGAGCATGTTCACCAATCACATTGCTCACCCAGAGATCATGATAGACAGCCAGCGCAGCCTCCTTTTTCTCCTCGGTTGAGCCATCGTATTCTGGAAGGTTCGCTGCAAAATCTTCAAGAGCTGAAGCCGCTGGCAAAGGATGTGAGGTTTCGTCAACAACGGAGCCTTGCACTTTGTCAGACCTGCTGTCGGTATGCCGAGTGTCCTGTCTGATAGTCTGAGGGCTGAATGTACCTGAGATTGTACCTGCTTCTTGGGTATGGCCTGGGCCCAATCAGAATCTGCCACTGCCACAGTTGAGCACCCACTTGCACGAGTTGCCACTGACTTCATGGCAATGGAGTGAAAGTTTCCAGCAGCTTGGCACTCAGCCTTTCGGTGTCTTCTGCAGGCGTCGCGCATGTCGTTGAACAGGAGTTCGCAGTGCAGGCTACTGAGCAGGCTGTCAGAACTCTTCTCATCTTTGGAGGATAGCCCCAGGGCAACACGCACAGAGTCCAGAAACGGTCTTGTACTCGTGTGTCCTGCTGCCACTTTGGATGCATCAAATCCAAAATGCCTCAGGTGCTACAGCAGGCCAACACGTTGAATCAACTACTAGTCGTAAAAATGAAGTTGAGGGCCCCAATAATGTACCAAATCTTTCAATCCCAACTAAGTTGCTCTGCTTTCGTGAGAACATCTCTGTAGATTTGCCATCTAGTGTGGGAAAATACCTTCCACAACACATCCTTTGAGTCCAATGGGTCAATGACAGTCTTGACAAAGGTCCACTCGTTTTGCATGAACTCTAGCAATGATGAAAGCTGACTCCTGTCAAGAGCACAAGCTGTGCGCCAGGGAAGTGCTCGGTGGGTGGCATCCAGGTCGCATGTGGCTGACAAAGTGGAGAGCAACAAATGTGAATGTAGGCGAAGCAAATCCTGACCCTCCTCATCTGTCTCAAGAGCGCCAATGTACTCAAGGTTTTTGAGCCTCACTGATTCGGAGATTGTGGTCCTCAGATCAGGTTGAATTGATGAAGGCCAACAGCAACTGAGTAATAAAGCTCAGCTCAGGCTCAAGAGAAACACATCAAAGCACAGGCTCAGGTGAGTCAGTGTTAGTTAATCCAGGCACGACAAAAGCTTCTGAACAGTGCGGCCACTTGCCAAATAAACCACCTGTGAGACAGACGCGTTGGGCTTTCGCTGCATCTCTGCATCCTCACTTCAACTACCCCTCTCAAAACAATAACACAGGACCCTCCAACTAGAAACAGATAACACATACAATGATCATTGAAGCACAGATGAGCAACAGTCCGTCCCAAGTACTCACGAAGTGGCTTCATCACAATGATGACAGACCGCAACTTGTTCTGATTGCTGTCATCTGCCAATACCTGAAAGTGTGTCAAAACGCAAACTATCAATGTTGAACATAACTTAATAACTATTAGTCACAAAGTCAAACAATATCAAACCGGGCCAGCACACACACCAAGCATTCACACGATGCGAGAAAGCGCTGTCTGCCGATCCATCAGAAGACTTATCATTGAAGTCCCAGGGTGCCTTACCCTGCTGCCACCAAGAGTAAGCATGAGCCATGAGCTCCAAATGCCACCTGCGATCCCATCGTTCTGCATGGTCATAAAAGCTCATCCACCGAGAGTCAGAGGCTGCAGACCCCAGAATATTGCGCTTGCCTGTCAAAAGGTACACACAAAATAGCCTGAACATTCAGGACCAGACTATATAAATTATAAATTATATAAATCAACCCCAAGAAGTCCTACAACATTTGTTTGTTCATTGCTCCAAAGTACCAGCACAACCTTTCAGAACATCAATGAGCTCTTCTTTGCTAAAATCTTCTGCGTTGGCTCCTCGATCTCGGGCAACCCCAGAAATCCACATCTCCATGAGCTCATCTGCACGGCCATCCTTGAGAGCAGCCAAGAGCTCTTGCCTGGATTCCATGATTTTTTGTCCAAATCGGCCAGTGTTGAAGGGAGCCCGGCCAAATCTGAATAGTTTCATTGCTTTCTTGAGCAAACCCTTGATTTCCAGACACGAATGGTGACCCAGTGCTGCAGCAACTCGCCGAGACACTCTATGAAATACGTCCGGCCAAATCAGGCAATATGCATGGCTGTTCGCAAGATGTAAAAATGCGAGAAAGCCCTAAGCAGTGATGCAGCACACCACAATAGTCAATATAAATAACAACATATACGACATATCTTAAGTCAAACTATCCAATTCATATACACACATGTACAGACCGTGCTCAACTCATCACAGCATGAAAAGGTTTACATAATAATTATACTGGCTAGCTTCTTCTGTACCCTCATCAGCACTATAGATCAGTCTGTGGAAGGACTCGTCCAAATAGAACTGCGGCTGGGCTGTGAAGGTGTTCCAGTCATAGTTGAAGAATAATTCCATGTCATCATCACACCGAAACATCTCCTTCTCAAAAGCAATCATGGGAAGGCGGTCAGAACCACGTCCACAGGGGGTCAAAATGTTCTGTGGAATGCACTTGGAAAGATTCCATCCCGTAGGAAGCATGTTTCGAAGGCTGTTTGCGAGAGCAGCCAAATAAGCCTTTGTGGCTTGGCGATATTCTTTCCAGTCAAACAACGTCTTGGGGATCTTGACCACCTGACCCTCAGGAGTTGTTCCAGCTACCTTCATGGCCTCAGTGAAGGTTGCCAACGCTGGCTCAGTCTGTCCAGGGTCAGAACCGGCAGGTAGCAATTGTGTGGGGGCAGCCAAATGATGCCCATTCAAGCGCAGGATCACAGCTAACACCTGGGTATCATGTGGACAGACTTGACTTGACTAAGAATATGAGAGCTATTCATTCAACAAGGCAACAAACACGCAAATTAAACATAAAATGCAGCCAGTCTCAACTTCTCAACCAAGGCACAGATTCACCACCAACACTGGCACCATCCATTGCCAGATTGATCACTTTCAGTCTGGCCGACTCAATGTACTGCGAGCAGAAATTGCAAGTTGTTAGCAATGCTCGGCACACAAACTCAGACATAGTCTTGGAACTCAGGCTGCTGTTCTTGGGCACGATGTTCAAGTCTTGTAGAGTCAACTCAGACTTGGATGATACAAATCCACCACCACGACAACAGAATCGAGAGACCAAAGCCAAAGACAATGCCTTTGACCCCTTCCTTCTCGACGACATGAGGAATGGGTGATTCCGACTCGAAACTGTCGGGTCAGGACACTTCTTCTGCATCGCAGCTTCAATGGCCACCTCACAGTGTTGACAAAAGCAGTGAACCAAGCTTTTGGTGAGCTTTTGCAAAGCTTCATTTCCCTTCCAGGCTTGCTCACCACGGAGACGAAACAGCCCAATCAGGACCAGGATTAAAGACAGGTCATCTCCAAAGTGTCTTGGAATCTTCTTCTCAAACCTGGCAAGCTCATCACAGAGATTGAGCTAAACCATTTAATATATATATAGTTCAAAGCATACGACCCCGAAGACAAACACCCATAATTTTTTCTAATCCAAATCTGCACAGCAAAAGGTACACAAAACACCTTCCCAACCCATTGCCATCAATACCTTGCCTTGTCCACGAGATCCCAGCATGTCTCAACACTGTTTGCAACTGCTTCGAGCTCATCTGATTGTCGACAACATCGACTTCACCACCACCACGTTTACCAAGAGGGTGAAGTGTGACATTGATCTTTGTAAAGTGCTCCATGAATTCCAGAACTGACATGCAGTGCTGAATAGTCCCTGCTTGTAGCGCATTGGAAGGAAGCACTGAAGCTAAACACTGGACAACACCCAAAGAAGTGGCTGCATCCAAAGGAAGCACAGCGCAACCACTTGAAATGGTTCCCTTGTACGAGCTTTTGCGGAGTACCTACATCAGGGGTCATGGATGAGGGGGCAGGGTATGACCTTTGGGATGGTCACTAAAGTGCAACACTTTCAGCTGGTCACGTAGTTAATCCACTTGTCCAAGTTGCATGTCTATGACCAATGCCTAAGTCTTCGGCAATCTCAGCCGCGACAACGCACCAGTTCTTGGTGTACCACTGGCTGAACGCTGTCTTAAATGTCCACCATTCATTGGTGGCCAGGTAGTTGCGATAACCCTGATGTGGATCCTCCACCTCAAAGGGACTCAATGTGAAACAAATGCTTTGTCCATTCCAGTATATACTTAATAATATATATATATAGAAAAACTGCCTTCCCTTTCAAGACTCCAACCTGGACAACTGTCCAAACAGTGCTGTCTTTGCATAGGTAGAAGAATTCATGGGGAGCAATGTCAGACTTCTCTGTGGAACTTGTGGACTTCAGACTGGCATTTGACCCCTTCCGCTTGGCAGGTACATTGTCATCCGTGGTCTCCAATTTCAGACATTGCGGCGATAAGGCTGGCCACGGAGCAAATTCAAGATCCCGACCATGAATCTCCTTCAGCCTTGCTACATGAGTCTCGAAGCCTTCAAAGAGAGCATCACGCTTCTCCTTGTCCGTAGCCCGAGCATCTTCAATCTCCATGAACCTAGATGCAATGGACTTCCTGATTTTCTCAAGACAAGCGTTGCGCTCTTTCTCTTTGGACTCATCCTCATCTAGGACAATGGGCAAAGCTGAGAAGAGCCCTCCAAGCTCCTCTTCCCAAACAGCCTTCAGGGTTGACCAGTCTACCAACACTACACATATATCATATATGCACTAAACAAAGACATTACATTGCATTACATAGCCAACATGAGTCAGAGCCCATGTTCACCTGACTCCGGACAGATGGCGTTGTTGGTCCCTTCATTGGGACATCTCCGTCAGGTTCTTCCCGACGAGAGGACATGGGAAGGCTAAGGTGGCCTGCCTGTTTTCCCCCAGGCAACCCACTATTTAGCAACAAAGTACCATTGACTGAGATAAAGCGCAGTTGGTGTGTATAGAATATATATTAAATGTCCTTTGCAACTTGACATTGATGTTATAAAACACAGCTCCTTGTATGTCTTTCTTAGAGCCCTCCGCAGTCTGCAGCACATACACATGTTCGACACAAGAAAACAGTGCATATAACACAATAAACAATTCCTGTTCAAGCGCTAGCATTTGTGAAACATATCGCTAGGGCAGTAGAGCACTGAAAAGCAAAGCCGCGCATCCAGGTTTTAAACACCATACAACAGCACTGTCTTGAGTGAATGCCATTGTGAAATTGAATTTAGCATGATTCTGAATTTAGCAGTCTGCTACTGGGATATGCCACTGTCTCGAATTTCCTGTCCATCTATGCAAAGAGGACAGTCACAGTCAAAATTGTGCTGTGCATCTGAGAGGTAGTGTTCAGGAATCAGCCTGCCACAAATGGCCACGAGTTTGCTCTGTGAAGGTGCAGGAACAACGACATCAGCAGGCAAGGCCAGACCCTTCTGATTCACGGTCACATCATCAGCCACAAGGTCAACCACGACTGAAGATGAAGCCACTGCATTTTGTCCCGTACTTCTGCATTTCTTTTCTCTTGGACTCTCAGCTATCGGCAGCAATATACGCTTCAAAGTAGGGGTGACCATCTCTGCAGAATCCATGTACGCTCTCTTAGGATTCATCCCTGTACAATTATACGAAAAGCTGAAGAGCAAAACGTTACAAATCATGTACACACATAATCCTCAGTCAGCAACACGTTGGACAGAACAGTGCGGTGCGCTTCGTGAGAACGATGTGCTTCGTGAGAACGTTGTGCTTCATGAGAACGATGTGCTTCGTGCAAAGAGGATATTAAACGACTATATATTTATGCAATCATCTACCGATTGGACAAAGCACAATAATTTTTCTAAATTCAATCACCCAATTCTGAACAGAACGGTGTGTCTCATGAGAACGATCGTGTCATGAGAATGCAAATCACATGATTCAGACCCTCATACTGCAAACTTACCCAATCTCGCCCGCATCCTTCCGTCAAATTTTGGGAGATCAAAAACAAAAATAAAAGTAAAAAGTAGATCATCACATGGAACAGAGACTGCGCGTGAGAACGATGTGTTTCGTGAGAACGATCAGTGTTCCTGAGAACGATGTTTTGAGCCGCACCACCGAGAAGAGCTCCCAGTATCTACGAATTGCCAGCAGGGACAGTCCTGTCCCAGTGTCCAAAAACACTAGTGACCTGGCAGCACGTGTTGGCTGCAGAAAGTTCTAAAATGAGCAAAGGCCTGCAGTGCCTAGAATGCCTCAGCATCAGTCAGACCCACTGGAGGACAACCTTACCCAAGGAAGCTGCTGCTGGGTTGAAGACTCCGGGTCCTTTTTGGTCTCATCAGTCTTCTCTTTGGGCTCCTGCTCCACGTCTGCATTCGCACCACGGACTTCCTGACGCATTTCAGGCTTCGTCTCCATAGCCCGTAAACCAGCAAGTGCATTCACCAACGGGTTTGGAGGCTCAAGTGCTGCTCGATAGTCCTCCTGGTAGGGACAGCAAATACACCTGCATAGCTTTTTCACACAGCCATGAGACAACAAATACAATCAGACCTAAATGACACACAGTTTTGCCACCCCCTGTCCAATTTCTCCAGAATTCGCCTGCACATCTTGAAGGCAGCGCGTTTGCCCACCCATGACATGCAGGATAGCAACTCCTTTGACTCTGCAGAGGAGCAAGTCTCATCTGGCACCCATCCCTCACACAATCCCTCCAGGAAGAACTCGGGAGTGTCCTTATCTGATTGAAACCAAGAGCTTCTGAGATGCACATGCAAATCAATTGAAAGTCCAAACAATTGTCATCCAGAAGACACAGGCAAACACACACTACACTCAGGCCAGTGAAACAAGTGCAGCATAATAATTAATACCAAAAGATACCACAAGACATGAACCACACATCAACAATATCCTTTTGCCTCGCTTTCCCAAACCAAACAGCAACTTTCAACACAATGTCGAAGGCACAAATCCTTCAGCAAGTAGAACCCTGAGGAAAATGTTCCTGTCAGCCTGCTGGGTCATGTAGCGAGACAGGTCTTCTGAAAAGAACTGCTCCACCTGCTCATTGCCAACAACCGTGGAGGGAGCAGTAGTGCTCTCAGTGCCCGTTGACTTCTGCTTCGGGGAAGGGCGGAGTGCCTGCCTCAGTCTGTCCTCTTTGACCTTGTCCTCCTTGAAGCGGTCACCAAAGAACTCATCTATATGAGAAGATGAAGAAGAGCTCGACTGCAGGGTTTTAGTTGTTCAATGGTTGCTTTTCAATGTTTATGTCTACAAGAATAAACATAATGCCAATATTATTTACTCACCAGACAGCTGTCGTTTCACAAATGAGCTCCTTGATGCCACTAGCAGACGATTCCCGATCGCACTTCTTCGAACTACTCCTTGATCTTGCCTTCCTCTTCTTCTTGGACTTGGAACCAGCTCCCTTGGACTTCTTCGATCCTCGTGACTTCCTCGCTTTTGACTTGCCACGATAGCCACGTCCTGATTCCGTTTGCTGGTCCTTCTCGATGTCATTCATAGCCTCCGTCTTCGCAGTCTGGATATAGCTCTTGAGATCACACAGCCACTTGGCAGCATTGGCGCCTTTCTGATGGGCATCTACCTCCTGGCCAATGGACCTCAGGAATGCCACAATTGTCGTTAGGCCACCACTACCGCCTGTCAAATTGATTGCCTAATACTGTTCAAGTCACAACAAACACATTGCCCTTTGGCTGGAGGTTTTGCTGCCATGCCACATTCGCAAGGACACCAGAGACGAATGCTGGCTGATGACAGACATGTTCTCCATAGAGGCAACTGGCACAACACATCTCATCACTCATGTATTTGTATTAACTACTATATTCACAGGTGTTTTCTTTCCATGCTCACCTACTCACAGTCAACCAGATGCATTGATCTTACACACCTGTACTACTACGACTACGACTACTGCTTCCAGGCACCTCGGCGAAGCACCTCCAGCAGTCTGTCGCGCCATTGTTTCTCAGCAAATGACATCTTCTTCGAAACTTGTATCTTCATGCGCAGACTGGTTTCTGACCCATCATCATGACGCTTCAGAGCAGATAGCGATTTACGATGAAGCTCCAGTAGTTCACCCCCCATTGCAAAGACACTTTCAGAGGTGAGCTCAGTGTGAATTTGGGCTATCAGAATTGCCAAGAGCTCCACCTTGAGGTCAGCAATCCTGGTCGTGTTCTTGCCCAGCATCAAACCCTTGGGTTTCCTGAGATACTACACATTCGACGATGCAGTCCACACTCACACTAGTACAAACACAACAATATTATTTTGGCAGATCTACACAACCGAAGAGCCACCCACAGACTGTCGTCTTCATGTTGCTGAACTAAATTATTGATCTAATTTGATGAAAAGCGACACTCCAAATGTAGACGCTACAGCCACTGCCGCTTTCTGAACCTCTGGGTCAATGGCTATCTCCTCTGAGCTTGATGAAGAAGATGAATTCTTGTCTTTCTTGTTCTTCTTGTCCTTCTTCACCTTTTTGTCGCTCTTCTTCTCAGACTTCTTGGTCTTCCCCATGGACAAACAAGCAAAGACTCGCCTACTCACTTCCTAGAACAGCACCTCTGATGACCTCGATCAAAACTATCTTGCAGCCTATATGGCACTCAAAAGGGGTTTGTCCATTCAATTCAGTATGATGGACACAATGTCAGTCATAAATATTCCAGTTGAACTCTCAAGACACTTGGAATACAGCTTTCGGTCCGTGTGCTTTGACATGTGTGCACCTTCCTTTTGCCCCAAAGCTTTGAAATGCCCCGAGTGGTTCAATATTCAAACTCACAGTGATTCACAGTGATTGAATCCAGCTCACCATCGAATTAGTATTCTCTTTCATGAATTAGTAAGCTACGCTCACTCCTTCCATGCCTCACCAGCTCACCTCTGTAGCGCATCCCACAGTCAATGGCCCCGAGGCACCGAATGGTTGAAGAAGCCTCACTTTACATCACACCCAAACACATGAGTCCGGGGAACAACACTTTGCAAAAACTACACTGACACAAATTCAAAGAGCTGCAAAGGCTTGGGACACTTCCATTGGAATACTTACTCTGCAACAAATAGCAGTCTCCTTTACGGTGACTGTAAATCGCAGAAATTTAAAAAGATAAATTACTTACAGATCACGGAGAGGATCATCCTGGTACCTACACCAAACATCCACAACACAAATGCTCCAAACTATTGAAAGCAACAAACATACTTGAAACTCTCACTCTGGCACAGTGCACAGCTATACGGACAATCAGTCAGTACATAAAGAACAGGTGAAGTAGCCTGAAGAGAAAAGGCCACAACTTCGATTGCTGCGCACCTGTATGTCCTGCAGACATCACTCTTCCTGCTTCTCCATGGTCATATATGACCATGTCATGTGTGTGCATGCAAACAACCCCTGCATCTAAATACATCATCCTTTGAACAGTACCAAATCAGTGGATATCTACTGAACTGCTCTCAGCATTTGATCGTAGTATTTGTGTCTCTCCCTCTCTCTGTTTTGTTTCTCGCTGTTTCTTTCATTCGTTCTTTCTTTCTTTCTTTCTCTCTGTCTATGGGCCTCAGCTTTAGTATTTTTTCGCTTGCCGAGCCCATGCGTGCTGCTGCTCAACAATAGCTTGCACCTGAATTATATAGTAAACATGGCCAGCCACCGAAGTCTTTATGACTCAGTTGGGCACTTCGACAAGTTCAAACTCACCATCGCTTTCTGTAGGCACATGAGCAGACACAGCTTCCTTCGACACCTGGGGCTCACTGACTGGAGACGTGGCTTCAGAAGCAGTCTGAGTCTTTGCTTTCAAG